GGGAGACCACACACCTCCCCACTACGAGTGCCTGTGCGAAGAACGTACGTGCAGGGACCTGCACCCCCAGACCTCCCACGCCCAGCGTACCACTCACGAAGCTGCTGAACAGACGGGGTCTCACGGGTGCGCAGCTGCTGCTGACGCTGGCCGCCACCAAGGCCTCCACGCTGCGTGGCTGCACCGCGACCAGCACCACCTCCTCCGCTACCTCCACCACCGCTGCCGCCGCCTCCACCGCCTCCGCCACCGCCACCGCCTCCACGGCCTCCACTGCCGCCACCGACGCCCCCACCCCCGGGACCACCCCCACCACCACCTCCACCTCCTCCACCGCTTCCTCCACCGCCCCCTCCACCACCCTTGCTTCCCTTGCCCTTGCCAGTGCGGCGTCGCCCACTAGGGGCAGACGCAGCGCCGACCTCCTCAGTGCCAACGAGGTCGACAGCAGCAGCAGAGGCAACAGAGGGGAGAAGGGGGACAGGGGAACACCCCTCAAAGAAGGGGGTGCGACGGTCGCCGCGAGAAGCCCCAACAGCTAAGATACTCTTCTCAGCTGCAGCAAGGCGCTCCTCTAGCAAGTCGACAGTCAGCTCGGTAGGGCAAAGGGAGAGAAAGTGATCCCTGACTGAGGAGAGAGAGTCAGGGAGGCGGGTGACTACGTAGTAAAGGGTGATGTACATGGGGGGGGAGTTCGTGGGAAGAAACGCAGTGGGAAGGGCAGCGCGGTAGCGAGCGTCACTAGTGCGGAGGTGAGCAACTAGATCAGCAACTGTGGCAAAGGCGGCAAGGTCAGGAAAAAGGTACGGCAGCATGAGGCGCCTGAGGGCAGCAGTGGTAGGGGAGGAGTAGCGTGCAACTACAGCGTCGTACAGAGCCCTGGCACTCTTGTACTGACTAAAGTGCGCGCGCTCAGTAGACGGCAGGTGATTGCGCACAGCAAGACGAGCAGCAGCATCGCGCGTGAGCCACTGCGAGCGAACAGTACTGTCAGCATCAGCAGTAGGGGCAGTAGAGGCGCCAGACGTGAGATCGAACAGTGAGAGACCATCCTTGCTATCGCACTGTAGGAAAAGCTGCAGATCATCTAGCCAGACCTCAAAGTCAACAGCTCGACCCTCAGCATCAAAGGTAAGAACATTGAGACTAGCCATGACAGGAGAAGCAGCAGGCTAGCAGCAGCAGCAGTGCAACTCGGCTAAGAAGGCTAGGCAGGGCGGCGCAGCTCGGCAGGGCGGTGTGGCTCAGCAGCGCGGCGCTCTTACCAGGGGAGAGGCTGGGGCAGGGCCGGGGTAGGTCCGGGGCAGTTCAGTAGCAGGGACGGGGGAGGGCCGGGGCAGGGCCGGGGCAGAGCCGGGGCAGGGCCGGGGCAGGGCCGGGGCAGAGCCGGGCCAGGGCCGGGGCAGTTCAGGGGCAGGGCCGGGGCAGGGCCGGGGCAGGTCAGGAGCAGGGCCGGGGCAGGGCCGGGGCAGAGCCGGGCCAGGGCCGGGGCAGTTCAGGGGCAGGGCCGGGGCAGTTCAGGAGCAGGGCCGGGGCAGTTCAGGAGCAGGGCCGGGGCAGGGCCGGGGCAGAGCCGGGGCAGGGCCGGGGCAGGGCCGGGGCAGAGCATGGCCAGGGCCGGGGCAGTTCAGGGGCAGTTCAGGAGCAGGGCCGGGGCAGTTCAGAAGCAGGGCCGGGGCAAGGCCGGGGCAGAGCCGGGGCAGGGTGCAGGGCCGGGGCAGGGCCGGGGCAGGGCCTGGGCAGGGCCGGGGCAGGGTCGGAGCAGGGCCGGGACAGGGCCGGGGCGAGGCCGCGACAGGTCCGGGGCAGGGCCGGGGCTGGGCCGCGGCAGTGCAGGAGCAGGGCCGGGGCAGAGCTGCGACAGGGCTGCAGCAGGGCCGGCGCAGGGCCTGACGGGGCCTGACGGGGCCGAGAACTGAGCCTGACAGGGCCGTACGGGGCCTCTAACGGGGCCTTGCGGGGCCTTATGGGGCCGAACGGGGCCTTAAACGGGGCCTGACGGGGCCTTACGGGGCCTTAAACGGGGCCTGACGGGGCCTTACGGGGCCTTACTGGGCCTTAACCGGGGCCGTAAACGGGGCCATACGGGGCCTTACGGGGCCTTGAGGGGCCTTACGGGGCCTTAAGGGGCCTTACGGGGCCTTACGGGGCCTTAAACGGGGCCTTACGGGGCCTTAAACGGGGCCGTACGTGGCCGTAAACGGGGCCTTACGGGGCCTTACGGGGCCTTAAACGGGGCCTAACGGGGCCTTAAACGGGGCCTTACTGGGCCGTAAACGGGGCCCTACGGGGCCTTACGGGGCCTTACAGGGCCTTACGGGGCCTTACACGGGGCCGTAAAAGGGGCCTTACGGGGCCTTACGGGACCTTACGGGGCCTTACGGGGCCTTAAACGGGGCCGTAAACGGGGCCTTAAGGGGCCTTACGGGGCCTAACGGGGCCTTACGGGGCCTTACTGAGCCGGAAAAGGGGGGCCTTACGGGGCCTTACGGGGCGGGCGCTGGCTCTAAGGGCAGGCGCAGGGGCCGCGATTGGGCCTCGAAGGGAAGGCACGACGCGCGCGTTAAGCAGGCAGTGAAGAATTTCAGTGGTGGGCCCTTTAAAAAAAGAAGTCTCGAAACTAGCTCTATACCATGTGAGAATGATAGACGAAAGAATGAATGAACTAGAAATGAGATGGGTACAAATAGGAAACACATAAGTGTTGTACCCTCTAAGAGCTACCCCACTACAGCCTAAATAGACCATAGCAGATATAAGTTTGACACCCCTTGCAGGTATAACCAAGTTGCTTCAGCGGGAGCGGCACTGGTACGAAAAGGACGAATACCAAGCTGTTCAGTCGGTGTCAGATTGCGAACGAGAACTATGTATGCAGTCAGCGACGCTGATCGAAAAGTGGCCTGTTGAAGTGGTGACCCGTGTGATGGAAAAGGTGCTGTGCCGTCGAACAACTGCCAGAATCCCGCGGTCTGAACAAGAAGCTCGAATTCAAAACTCCAGGTATAGAAGTCTTGACCGTTAAAGGGCATTGTCGTTTTAATTTTTGTTGGGTTTGCAGAAGCGGGAAGATAGTTTCCGGTGCCGTCAGCTGATTGTAACTGATAAAGTGATGACATCTGCGACCCTTGTGGTGCTTGTTGTCCTTGTCCAGCAGGAACGAAAGAGAAGGAGTTATTCGACCCGTCGCTTCCTTGTGGCATCTGTCCATGCTGATAACTGGAGCCATCAAGGCTCATAGGAGTTGGAAACATTTGGTTAAGTGACAAGACGGCAGCATTGACACGTTGTTGAAGATTTGTTGGCTGGTAAGCACCTTGATATTGATAAGGTCCAGTCGGTACGAAACTGGACTGTTGTCCTGGTTGACTAGAAGAACCAGTGACTGCAGCTGCAGCTGTTGTGGCTGCTGATGCCGCTGTTGCTGCGGCTGCTGCCGATGATGCCGCTGTTGCGGCTGTGTGTACGGGCTGATTGCTCAGTGGCATGCCGTACATCGGTTGTTGCTGATATTGTTGTTGTTGATGTTGTTGTTGCTGCAGATAAGAATTGTCAGCAGCTGGAGACGCTGTTGGGCGTGATGGGCTCGTAACAGAAGAGCCGTTGTTGGATCGTGGAGAGCCAGACATAGTTGCAGAGTATGTAGTTGGAAGCTTGTAGAATCCTAAGACGCTCGCAATACCATGTTAGAATTTGAGATGATTGAATAGGATCGTAATACTTAGGATGGTAGCTTCCTGTCGTAGCGGAAGTCTTGTATGAGTTAAAGCCAGTTATGGAGGCTTTGTCTGGACTTAATAAAAGCCCATGTAGTGATATGTTTCAGGATCAATGTCTCTGAAATCAGATATCAGGTATATTTAAAAATGACAAACATACAAAATATATAGCTAGAGTAAAGTACCTATTCGCCTACTGTACTGTGCTTTTCCTGTTCTGAAACGGTACGTGACTTTTCGCGAGGCCTATAGCTACGTGCTGACGCCATCCTAGGGCGCGTAGCGCTTTGCTGACGTCAGCCTATCGGTACTTTACTGTTACGTGCGAAGTCTCGCACTGTACTACACGAATCCTTGAAGTGCTTAAGTCTTCATATTATCTCAACAGGTACAACATTTTTAGGTTTCCTACTTGTACCCACCTGCTTGCTAGTTCAGTAATTCCTTCCTTCACTATTCTGACAGGAGAAACCTTCGGGGATGTTATAATAACCATTGGTTATTCCAACGTTCACTAAAGAAAAGGAGAAACATATAGGAAAAGAAGCAAAGAGAAAATTTGTGCACCACCAAACAAAGCATAGAACCACACGAAGTACAGGTAATTACACTACAATACGGAAATTATATCATAATGCAAACAATAACATTTTGATCATAAACATGCAACACAAGTAATCACCCTGTGCTTACAATCAATGAGTGGACATGTGGTATGTGCAATACTTTAGACAAAGGAGCATGTGTCATTTACGAGCTTCGGTGCATCTTTTGGGTCTCGTTGTGCTTTCGTTCCATCAATGCTAAACCTATAGTACCATATTTTTATACAAAAACAAGCCCTTGGTCTTAAAAGGGATGTCTTAGGCCTATGTCTGGTGTAGCATTAGTTGCGTAGAATTCATGTTTCTTGTGGAGTCTATCTAGACCATGTATATTGTTTTAAGCATTTTCTGATCACAGCCTGTTTTATTTTCTCAATGGTTACTACACAGCCAGGAAACTTTTCAACGAGGATACTACGAACAAGACTGTTGTGAGGCAGTGAGGGAGGCGTGGCCCACTAATTTGGTAGTGAAGAGCGGATCTCCTAATGCAGCGCGCCATTTCGTGTCGGCGAATGCCTCTTGATCTTCTTGTTGAAGACACGCAGGGCATCTATTAAGTCTCTCTATTCACATAGAACAGGCACTTGCCACGTGGACCCACAGCGTTTCTCATCGCTTAGCGAGTTGCCAGGACGGATCGGCCCGAACGCACCTGCTTCGGCCGAGGGCCGGCATGGCGGAGCTAGCTTCGGGATATCGCAAAGTGGCACCCGAAGCGATTCCAGACCTCATTGCGTGGCTCGGCAGGTGCGGTAAACCAGATGTTACCGTTAATTTCGCGTGGCTATGAGCTTAGCCTGTGGCCTAAAATGCCTGAGACGAGAATGTAGCGCTGCGCTGGTTTTTGAGAATTCTCAAAAACCATTTCATGTGGTGATGAGCTTAGCCTGTGGCCTAACATGACTGAGACGAGAATGTAGCGTCGCGAAAAAGAGGGAGTGGGATCGCTGGAGAGGGAGGGTCTCGAAAAAGGATGTGGGATGGTGTGGGCGGGCACGGTGGGGCGGGAGAGGCGAGAGGGGGAGATGAGGTTCCCCCCGCCGTGAGGTGAAGGCGAGAACGCCATCGGTTGGGCCGGGCGGCGGGAGAGGCGGGAGAGACGAGAGGGGGAGATGAGGTTCCCCCCACCGTGAAGTGAAGGCGAGAACGCCATCGGTTGGGCCGGGCGGCGGGAGAGGCGGGAGAGGCGAGAGGGGGAGATGAGGTTCCCCCCGCCGTGAGGTGAAGGCGAGAACGCCATCGGTTGGGCCGGGCGGCGGGAGAGGCGGGAGAGACGAGAGGGGGAGATGAGGTTCCCCCCACCGTGAAGTAAAGGCGAGAACACCATCGCGGCCACGCTGGCCCGTCTTCCTTCTCTTTCCCCCCTCCCTATTTCCCCCTCTCCCTCCTCCCCGTCCCTCTCCCCCTTCCCAGCCCACCTCCCCCTTTGACCAGCCCCCATTCGTTCATCCACCACTGCTCACCCCACCTCTCGCCTCTTTCCCCCCATCTCTCGCTCTTAGCTCCTCATCCCTTCCTCACCCCTGCCCCCCTCCAGGTCTCTAGCAGTGCGGCAGGAACAGCCCAACTCGCCGTTGTGGCGCACGACGTGCTTGACCACTTAGGCCCGTCTTCCTTCGCTTATCCCCCTCCCCGTCCCTCCCCCTCCCTTCCCACCCTCCTCCAATTTTGAACAACCTCCATTCGTTCATCCTTCACCCCTCACTCCCCTCCCCCACGGGCCCAACCCCCACCCCCCCACCACCCCCTCCCCACTCCAGGTGTCTAGCGGTGCGGCAGGAGCAGCCCAACTCGCCGCTGTGGCGCACGTCCGTGCTGCAGTTCGCCGACGTCCTCGACCACGCGCTGCTTCTCGACTGGCCCCACCACCTCCTCCCGCTTCCCTCCTCCCCACCTTCCGCCTCCTCCGCCTCGCTTGCTTCTCGCCCCCCATCATCCCCCGGAAGGTCTGAAGCAGATCCAAAAAGCCTAAAGAAGAATGGATCGGCCGCAGCAGGACCGCTGGGAGAGGCGGAGGCAGCTGTGAGGAGTGATAGCTGTGCAGCGGTGGAGGAGACAAAAGGTTTGTGTGCACATGAGCAGCAGCAGCAGCAGAGCGTGGCACTGTCGGGTGCAACGGCCACGTGGGACCCAGCGGTGCGGCAGCGCTTCTGGAAGGAGCTGGTGGCGCTGTACGAGGGGGTGGTGCGCAGCATGTGCGCAGGGGAGGGGGTCATGAGGGGCATGGGCACTGGGGAGTGGCAGTCTGGGTCCGTCCAAACGCTGCCGCCCGCTCAGGTGCATGAGGACGAGGTTCTACAAGAGCGGATGGTGCGGCTACTGGGAGAGAAGGTGCTCAGATACTGCCAAGATGCGCCACTGGAGGTGAGAGAGGGACGAGACTGCGGAGACTCACTCTACACCGGTGGCAGCTAGAGTACGGGGAACGCATGGGTGGTACGAGTGATCATAGCTTTGCTCGTGCGCATCTGCGATGTGCATCGCGGCGCTGCACCTTTGCGGCTGCCAACGCTGCAGCAAGGCGGCCTCCCAGCGTTGCAGCGGCAGTTGACCACGTGCGCATGTGCACACACCTACTTAGACGATTGAGCACGTTGTGCATCGTCATGCAGGTGCCAAGTCGGCCACTCGCCGACGGTTGCGCCAAGTCGGCCACTCGCCGACGATTGCGCCAGATGTGCCATGTCGACCACGTGCTGTCACGTCGATCGTCTTCGCCAAAATCACTTGGGGCGAAGTTCGCGCACCCCCGCAGAACTGTGCTGACCAGTAACCAGGTCGACCAGAAGAAGACCGCTTAAGCCGGCGCCCGTAAGTCGGTGTCTGCAGGTCGGCGTTTGTAAGTCGGCGTCATCTCGACGACCATCGTCGTCGAATGCCAAGGCCGGGCGACGTCCGCCGACTTCCCTTCGCCTGTCAGCAACGAGGCTGGCTTCGCCGAAGTCGGCTCCGCTGTGGTCGGCGTCACTGCAGCCGGCTTCGTAGAAGTCGGCTTTGCAGAAGTCGGCTTTGCAGAAGTCGGCTCCACCGTTGGCCGGCTTCGCCGTTGGCCGGCTAGCCAAGCCAGCCGACTTGCTCCTCCAAGTCGGCGCCGTTCAAGAAGCTTGGCCGGCTGCACAACTTGCATACCGGAAAACGAAGTCGGTTTCACTGTGGTTGGCTTCACCGAAGTCGGACAACCGCCGAAGTCGGCTCTGCCGAGGTCGACTACGAAGCCTAACCGATCACGAAGTCGGCTTCGCCCAAGCGAGGGTGGGTCTTTTCTCGTCAACAGTGACACGAACACAGCCCACTCCGGTTCACGCGGCCCACTCAGTCCCACCCAGCCCCTCAGACCCACCCGGCCCACTCAGACCCACCCGGCCCACTCAGACTCACACAGTTCCTACCGTACTCTCACTGCTACTCGCATGCGCACCCGCCTTTGCTGCTGTAGCCACCCCGCTGCCTTGCCCCGATCAGGTATGGGTCCTCCCAGAGACAGTGCATGGGGTGACTGACAACCAGTCATGCAGAGAGCCTTCCGAGAGGCCTGAGAGGAGCCTGAGAGGGGTCTGAGAGGGGCCTGAGAGGGGCCTGAGAGGGGATTGAGTGGGGCCTGAGTGGGGCTTCACGGACCCACCAAAATCCGTTCATCAATGCCACTCGAACGTTGACTCCCCCTCACACCCCCCTCCCTCCTCCCCTTACTGCACGGCAGGCGAAGCAGCACCTGGTGGGGCCGTGATAGGGGCCTCACATGCTCCAGGATGCATTCACCAATGTATCCTCTCAATTGTTGCCTACACATCCCGCACCCACCACATTAGCAAAACATGTGCGCCTCTCTGAAAGACTCACTGCCCCCTCCCACCCCCCCTTTCCCTCCCATTATTCCTCCCCTTTCTGCATGGCAGGTGAAGCAGCGCCTGGTGGGGCTGCTGCTGGACCTGGCAGAGAGGGCTGTGGGGGAGGTGCAGCTCATAGGGGTTGGCCATGGCCGTGGGAGTTCAGGGCACATCGGCTCAGAGAAAGGTGCTTTTGGGGGCTTGCACGGACTTACAAACAGCCTTGGTGGTTCCGATCTCGCTCGCTTCACAGTTGCCTCTGTCATTGCTAACTCCTTTAAGAGTCCCTTTCCATTCCACAATGCCCCCCTATCCCTCATTGAAATCGCTTTGTCCCCCCCTCACCCCCACTCCTCTCCCCTTCCTCCCCCCTTCCTCCCCCTGCCCTGCCCCTCTCCCATCAGGAGAAGCGCCCAGCAAGGCTGCTGCAACTGCACCAGCAAGCAACAGCAGCCTGGCAGCAACCGGCAGCAACGCAAGAATCCTCCCTCCCACCACCAGCACCGCATCCCACCGTGCCGCACCTGACCGCTCCCGCTCCTTCTCCACTCCAGCAGTCTCTGTCTCGCCTCTTCGCACTGGCTCTGGCCCAACCCCTGCCTCCGCTTCGGCCTCTGCTGCAGTCCCAAGTTCAGGTTTAGGGTCAGGCTCAGGTGCAGGTTCAGGTGTGATTTCAGGTTCTTTATCAGGAGGTCAGGGGCCTAGGGGCGAGGGGAAGGCAGCAGCACCGTTGAGTGGGCTTGCACGCGTGGGCAGCTGGCTGGGATGGGGTGCTGCTGGCGGGGCAGCAGCAGGGGGGGGACAGGGGGGGCGAGCGGAGCAGGTGAAGGCGACCGGCAGTGTGGGACGAGGGGGAAGCGATGGGTTCAGTGGCAACGATGGGCATGCGGTGGTGAGGACGAGAAGCAGTGGTGCTATCGCCGCAGGGAGTGGGAGCAGATGCAGTGATGGGGAGATGGTGGGTGGGTCACAGGATGGTGCAGGCAGGAGCAGCTTGGGTGGCAATGAGGGCAGTGAGGGGGGGTGCAGGATGTGGAGGGAGACGCTGCACCCAGTGTGCTTCACTGCCATCCACCTGCTGCCCCAGATCTGCGGGTGAGTGGCGCATCCATCTACTCTTGCAGGGTGAGTTGGTCTTCTCTCTCACACCGGCATCGTGAGTTGACTGCGTGTTTAGCCAACAATACCGACATCTTTAGCAGCAGCAGCACACTAATTGCAGCAGGCCGAAGGACAAGTAAGTCTGTGCGCTGCACTAGTATGGGCTTAAATCCACAAGTAGCACTAAGTGCTGCCAGACCCTTCCTTTCACATATTCTTGATAGGATCAAGAACAGAGTCTAGGTCGTTTAAGGGGCCGAAATAATTCAAAATTGTCAATTAAGTTTATGGACAGAAAAGTCGTATTCACAAGAAACGTCGTCGACGAAAAACGTAATGTTAGAACATCATTATAATCGACTATGTTGTAGCTTTAGATCGTGGCTACCATTCACAGTTTGAATCGCATCGCATGGTGAAGTAAACTTGAGATATGAATTTCGACGCATAGGGGTGTATGTAGGCATGAGCACCCGACCCGACCCGACCCTACCCGACTTGGCCGGGCCAGCCAGGTTCCCGGGTCGGGTCGGTCCCTGGGCCAAGAGGGTGAAGGCCCTGACCCGACCCGGGGGTACAGGGTTGGGTCAGGGAAACCCGCTTCCGCCCGCCCCCTATGCAGATCGGTGCTCTCGCCCGCCGAACTACGCAGATCGGCGATTTCGCCTGCGACTTTGCCAGCGTAATTGTGCACATCGTCATTTTCGCTACCGATCTGGAAATTGGGATTTTGCCTGTAGTTTACTCAGGCTATGCACTTGTTTCCTACGAATATTTCCAACCAATTCGTCACTGCTCACCACTTTTTACCGCACTGAACTGAATCTACAATTCCCAAGCCAACCCCCCACCCCCCCCCTTCCCCTCTTTTCAGATCTTTCGACATTGAGCCTAAACATTGAGCCTATAACTTGCCGATCTCGACATTGAGCCTAGTACTTGACTAGAAACTAGGATTTCTGGGCTGATAGTAACAAGTTAGGTTGCGGGACTCATGTCGAGGGGAAAAATGACCCCTCGATTTCGACATTAGGGTTTTCCTAAGTGTCAAAATCGGGTGGGGTCAAAGCCCGACCCAATTACCCTGTTTTTCACCCAATTCCGGGTCGAGTCAACATTGACCCGAAGCCCGACTCGACCCGACCCGAAATGAAATGTCGGATTGGGTTTTATGCCCGGGTCGGCCCGACTCGACTCGCCCGGGTCAGGACTTCGAGGGTCCTGACCCGACGCGGCCGAGTCCTCGGGTCGGGTCGGGTCGGCCCGACCCGGCCGGGCCATTTGCTCATGCCTAGGTGTATGCTGGAGCTGTAAGCTTAACTCAGTCACAATAATTCAGCCAATAACATACAAGAAATTAAAGTAGCAAGAAACCAGGCAGGATGAGGATGACGAGGGAGAAGATCCCCAGGGAGTCCTCAACCAAATTCCTTCCTTATTGCAATCAAAATTCCTTCCTTATTGCAACCAAATTCCTTCCTTATTGCAACCAAATTCCTTCCTTATTGCAATCAAAATCCCCATAAGCACACCAAATTCCTTCCTTATTGCAATCAAAATTTCACCCTTGCCATTTTTCCAACTCATGCCACCGACCTAGGGATGAGCAGGGGGCGAACTCGAACATGTTCGAGTTCGCCCCCTCTCGAACATCGACTTCTGCCGAACCGAACAGTGTTCGGTTCGGCGAACGACTTGGGCGAAAATTGGTGTTCGCCGTTCACCCTAGGAGGCGATCGAATTGCTGCAGCAGGCGAACATGTTCTTGTTCGCCCAGGGGGATATTCGATATAGTCTCACAGGTCAGAAAACGATTTTGAAGTTTCAGGATGATAGCAAAAGATTTGCAAGGTGTATATGTGTGCATGCAACAAGTGGCACGGAGAAATGCTCGCCCCTACAACAAGAGAATTGACCTCTACAAGCTTGATCCCATAGCTACCAACCCTTAGTGTTTCTGAAATTACCCTACACTATTAACTACTTACATGAAATGTTTGTGTAAAAGTTAAGGAACGGTGTGCGATGGCTCTTAAAACCGCAAGGCTATGGCGGTTGTGGGAGGGAGGGCTAAGCGCCAAAGTCGTTTAGAGTTTGAGCTCAAACTCAAAACGGCCGCGACCTAAATTTGGTCGCGGCCAATTTTGATGCGAACACTTTGGTGTTCGCCTGCCCCCCAAATCGAACACGAACCTTCGCCAAATGGAGGTGGCGAACAGCGAACATGTTCGGCCGAACACCGAACATGTTCGCCCCGAACGAATTAGGCGAAAAAAAAAAAAATGATAGCATCACACAACAATTGTCATGTCTTCTCACAACATGTCCCACCCTCTCACGCCCTACACGCCCTCTCACACCCTACTACGCCCCCCCACTTTTACCACCATGCAGGCAGCCCAAGCTGAGCGACCCAGAGAGCAGCTCCGCGGTGCAGGTGGCGTGCATCGCCATGCCCCGCCTCCTCGCCTTCGCCCGCCGCCGCTTGCAGCGCTTCACAGAGGACTGCCTGGTGCGCGGTGAGTGCTAAGGAAAGCACGCTCACATGTTTGCTTGTAAACTGCGGTGTAGCCATCATTCACCTCACTCATACTAAACGAGAACAAAACCTTTCACCTGAGAGCATGTTAAGAGTTCTTTTCACCTGTCTCTTCCGACTCCCCGCTCCACCTATCCCCGCTACCCGTCCCCTTCACCTGTCCTACCCGTTGCCCTCTCATCACAGGGGCGGGCAGTATGGCAGCGGCGCGCAGGAGGGAGGTGAGGGTAATCCTGGCAGGCCTCATAGCCATCTCACTGCACCCTGTGGTCGCCGCCCCCCTCTCGCACCTCCTCCCCGCCATGCTCCGCTGCACCCCTCCTCCTGCTCATGGATTCACCACGCTCTCCCCCCCAGCATCACCGGCGCCCTCTCTCGCTGACAGAATCGCCACTCACACTGCGCCGCGCAGCAAGCCCGCCTCTGCCCCCACCTCTTCCACCACTGCAACGGCCGCAGCTCCCGCTGCCATGCCTCCTGATCCTGGCAGCATCACCGATGCAGCAGCGTGCGCTGCTGGCACCGGGGGAAGGGAAAAAGGCAGGGAAGGGGGCGGAGAGGAGTGCACTGAAGGAGTGATTGGTGAGAGGGGGAGTGAGGGTGAGTGTGAGTGGCGGGTGCTGCCGGACGGGCAAGGCGGGAGCATGGGCTGGCGCAAGGCCCACCTGTTCGCCATCTACCCCTTCGCATGCGACCTCATTCTTGCCAGGTGATGCGTGCTGCATGGCCACGTGGCAGCATGCCATTCGTGGAACTTGTGAGTGTCCATACTCTGTGTTCCTCCCTTTCCCTCCCACCCCAGTGCAACCTTGTCACATTGCCAGCTTCAATGCTATCCCCTTGGATCACCTTCTCCCACCTCCCCTTCATCTAAATACCTCCCCCTCATCCCACCACCTCCCCTTCATCTAAATACCTCCCCCTCATCCCACCACCTCCCCTTCATCTAAATACCTCCCCCTCATCCCACCACCTCCCCCTCATCCCACCACCTCCCCTTCATCCCACCACCCCTCCCTCATCCCACCACATCCCCCTTCATCCCACCACCTCCCCCTCATCCCACCACCTCCCCTTCATCCCACCACCCCTCCCTCATCCCACCACACCCCCCTTCATCCCACCACCCCCCCCTCATCCCACCACCTCCCCTTCATCCCACCACCCCTCCCTCATCCCACCACACCCCCCTTCATCCCACCACCCCCCCCTCATCCCACCACCTCCCCCTTCATCCCACCACCTCCCCCTTCATCCCACCACCTCCCCCTCATCCAACCCCCTCCCCCTCATCCCACCACCTCCCCCTCATCCAACCACCTCCCCTTCATCCCACCACCTCCCCCTCATCCCACCACCTCCCCCTCATCCCACCACCTCCCCCTCATCCCACCACCTCCCCCTCATCCCACCACCTCCCCCTCATCCCACCACCTCCCCCTCATCCAACCACCTCCCCCTCATCCAACCACCCCCCCCTCATCCCACCACCTCCCCCTCATCCGACCACCTCCCCCTCATCCAACCACCTCCCTTTCATCCCGTGTCATCCCATCAATTCCTGTTCAACCCTTTACCTGTGCCATACACTCCTCCCCACGCACCCAGCAGGGACCCGGAGCTGGCAGGGGCGCTGCGCTCACTGCTGCATGCAGTGGGGGCGGAGATGGGGCTGCACCCTGCACAGCGAATCTGATGCCATCCCATGCCACACCGCCTGCCAACCACTTGCCTGCACCTGCACCACCAACCTGCTGCCGACCACCAAACCTCCCTGCTGCATGTCATCCCTCTCTGGTTACAAGTGCATTATTTGGCACATTATTCGCTGTGAACTGGAGACGAATGGAACACGTTAGATGTGCGAGTACGAGCATGGGCAATTCCATGTTGTGCATGAGTATTCGGATACATGTTTTTCAACAATATGCCCACACATTCTTTTCACTGTGATTTTGTTTATGGATGAGTAATTTATTTGCCATTGTAACGAAACAAACATTTTCAGTATTTCACGTCACACAGCATACCATCAGGCCCCGGATATACCGCTCTGTGGTCAATAATAATAAATGAAAAAAAAAAAATCGGGGGGTCGCTTATACGGTAATCGAGGATTTGTGTAAGCGCTGGCGCTAATACAATGACATGCGGTACCGTATTGCCCCGAATAGTAGCGCCGTCCGATTAAAGGCGCCGACGCTTCTATCTGGAGCCATGCGCTTATGGCGGGACCTCAATTATAAGCGCACCCCTTAGAATCACCTTTTTACCTATAGGGGTATTCCTTTCATTATTTTTAATCTAAACACAGTTTCAATCATTATTCTAGCTATTTTCAACAACACATTCTACTTGTCCATAATACAAGTGGTTACACATGTCGAAGATTATCATTTCTAGCTACCCTACAATCTACTCGTGTGAGAAAGATAGACGAAAGAATGAATGAACTAGAAATGAGATGGGTACAAATAGGAAACACATAAGTGTTGTACCCTCTAAGAGCTACCCCACTACAGCCTAAATAGACCATAGCAGATATAAGTTTGACACACCTCCATAGGCAAAGTGGGGGAGAACAAGAGGTCACAAGACCAGTCAAGAAAAGCAAAGCAAGATCAGGGTGGATCACAAAGTCACCACACAGTCTGAGCACAAGCAAAGGGCCATAAGGCCAGTTCACATGCAGAGTTATATAAAGGAAAGCAAACAGTACAGTACAAGCAGAGTCAAGAAGTCAACAAGTGAGGCACAGTAGGTACAAGGCCTAACACAATACAGAAACGCTGATGATCACAAGGCTGAAGTGCCTTGGTGAAAACATCAGCAGTGTTGGCCTGAGAGGCCACGTAAGCAAGACGAAGTTGGCCACGCTGCTGCAACTCTCGAGCAAGGAAGTAGCGCAGAGCAATGTGCTTCGTTCTGTGCTCCAGTCTGTGCTCCTGACACAAGGCCAGCATGGCCTTGTTGTCGACGTACAGAACTGGAGGAGAACGAGGCGCCTCTCCCAAGTCGGTCAGCAGGTAGGTGAGCCAGCGAAGCTCCTGTGCAGCCATGGCCCCAGCGTAGATCTCAGCCTCACAACTGGAGCTGAGAACAGAAGAAGAGCGGGTAGACCGCCAGGAGACAGAGCCGGAGCCAAGACTGAAGGTGTAACCCTGTGACGACCACTGCGTAGCCAAGTCGTCAACCCAGGAGGCGTCAGCGTGACCAGTGAGGACAACTCGAGCCCGTCCTCCAAGCACGAGCCCCATGCCCGATGTACTGCACAAGTATCGCAACACCCTCTTCGCAGCATCCCAGTGCACCTTTCGGTGCCTGCCGGGAGCCACGTATCGAGCCAGAAGGCTGAGAGGGTATGCGAGGTCAGGTCGTGTGCAAGTCATCAGGTACATGAGGCAGCCCACAAGCTCTGGATACGGGCCACTCGGCTCTACGGACTCGTCCGAAGGTGGAGCTGAGAGCGAGTGACCGGTAGGCAGAGGAGTGGACTGTGGCGAGGAGTACGTGAAGCCGAAGCGCTGAAGGACCTGCTGCACCATGTGTGACTGAGTCAAGGTAATGGTGCGCTGTGCTCTGTCCCGGGTGATCCGCAAGCCAAGATAACTTGTCAGCTCACCCAAGTCTGTGCACGTGTGTCTCTTCTGCAGCTCGGACTTCACGTGGGCGAGTGCCTCTGTGTCAGCAGTAGCAAAGACAAGGTCGTCTACGTACACAAGAACGTAGAACGGCGGCAGAGTAGCGTCAGTGCGTAGAAACAGAGAAGGGTCAGCAGTGGAAGGAGCAAAACCAAGAGCAGCAAGAGTCGTCCTGAGCGTGTCGTGCCACTCACGGGGCGCCTGGCGGAGACCGTAGACTGGCCGCCGGAGGCTCCACTGGGTACCAGCAGGAAACGACCCAGTGAAGCCAGGTGGGCGCCGCAGCCAGATCTCCTCGTGCAGGCTGCCCTGTAGGAAGGCTGTGCTGAAGTCAAGCGAGTGGAGCTCGTAGTCACGCTGAGCAGCAACGTGCAGCAGTACCCGAAGAGTGGTCATCTTCGGGGTAGGGGAGAAGGTCTGAAAGAAGTCAACTCCCTGTCGCTGACTGAAGCCACGTGCAACGTAACGCGCCTTGAAGGCAGGCGGAGAACCCGGCGGCCGCTTCACCCTGAAGATCCACATGCTACTGACGATGTTCGCCCCAGGTGGGGGAACCTCGTCTACGTAGGTGCCTGTGGACTTCCAGGAAGCCATCTCTGCGTCCATGGCTGCCTGCCACTGAGAGGAGTAGGGACCCTCTATCGCCTCTGCGTAAGAGCGCGGGGTCGGGATGTCTGGTGCATCCGGGTCTCCCTCAGGGGCAAGCAGCATGGACACGAGATGAGGTGAAGCAGCAGCAAAACACTCAAGGTCCTCCTGCCTGTCCTCAAGGACGTCCGTGCCAAGAGCACACTCACCCCCGACGGACGGAGGACAGACAGACACAGACGCAGACTCAGCAACAAGACTAGCGGCGTAGTCTAGGCGACAGGCTGCAGCAAAGTCAACAAGCTCAGCAACAAGAGCAGACGCAGCAGAGAACTCAAACAGGGGGTCAGTGACAGCAGTGGCCAGAAAGCGCGTGACAGTAGGACTAGCAGCACGAAGGGAGTCAGACTCCGGGTCCGGACCGTCAGGAAGAGAGGACGCAGGAGGAGAGGGCAGAGGGACACGCTGTGGAGCAGTGGAAGGACGCAGAGTCATAGAGTGAGTGCCAGGGACAGGAGGAAGACGCGGACGCGAAACACGACCAGCGCGAACAGAACGGACAGGCGACGTAGAACGAGACGCAGGCGACACAGGACGCGACTCAGGCTCACGACGCTCCGTAAGACCTCTAGTCGGACCAGAGTAAGGAGAAGGACCAGGCAGTGGAGAGGCCAGCTGTAACTGCGACTGAGACGGGACAGGCGGTGGACTCAAGGAAGGAGGAGGAGGACCAGGAGAAGGCGGGGAGCCAAGAACCTGCTGAAGAAGCGGAACGTAGTACGGCCGCGGCCGCACAGCGCCTCCAGAAACAGCAGAGACAGAACCGGTACCCTCAGCCTCAGGGTCTCCAGTCCCAGCAGCACCTCCAGCAGCTCCAGCACCAGCAGCACCTCCAGCAGCTCCAGCACCAGCACCACCTCCAGCAGCGCCAGCACCTCCAGTAGCTCCAGTAGTACCTCCAGCACCAGCAGCACCTCCAGCAGCTCCAGCACCAGCACCTCCAGCAGCTCCAGCAGCTCCAGCACCAGCAGCACCTCCAGCAGCTCCAGCACCAGCACCACCTCCAGCAGCGCCAGCACCTCCAGCAGCTCCTGCACCAGCAGCACCTCCAGCAGCAACCCGACAGCGCCGAGAGTACCACTCATGAAGCCGCTGTGGAGAGAGGGGCTCCCGCCGCGACGGGACACCTAGAGCACCTCCAGACTCAACACGCGCAGGCTCAACACCTCCAGACACAGCACCCCCAGACTCAGCACCCCCAGTCTCAGCACCCCCAGTCCCCGCACCCGCAGGGTCAGCACCCCTAGCAGCACCTGAGTCGACAGCTACCTCGACCGGCTCTGCAGGGTCTACCTGGGACACACCTGAGGGGGCAGGACCCTGGGGGGGGAGGGGGTCTACCGGAGGAGTACCTGGGGCAAGGAAGAGCGGCGGGGGAGGGGGAGAGGCAGTGCGGTAGGGAAAGAGACGGTAGTACGACACCGACTCGTCAAACGTGACGTCCTGAGAGGACAGAACACGACGCGAGGTGGGGTGGTAGAACTGCCACCCGGGTGCGTCAGGAGGGAAGCCAAGGAAGACACAGGGAACGGCACGGGAGGACAGCTTGTCCGCTGTAGTATCGCGGACAAAAGCTCGAGATCCCCAGACACGGAACGCGGACGCATCGCCAACCTTCCCCGTCCACTGCAGAGTAGGTGTGGTCTCCGGCAAGGAGACAC